GGGAACATGAATCTTCCAATCCAACACACTAAGGAAAACAATTATAGTATGATCAAGTTTGAACTTACACCAATTATTCGGACACCAGGAGTTCGATTCTAGGAAGAAGAGAGTTAGCCATACATACCTCAATTGTGCTTCTTTAGACTCTACAATTATCCGGAATCCTTAGCAACCTCAATCTATTTTAGCAATATACAAATTGAACCCTGAATTAGGAAAACGTTCATGGTTCTAGCTCACTTTTCTTCCCCATACTCTTTATCACACATGCATGCAAGATAAATCACCCTCATACCCATGAAGTATCACCCTAGTACCACATTATAGCTATGTTTGAAATTAAGAGCTGGGGTGATGAAGCCTTACCTTTTAGGGTGAAGAAATTTTGTGCTCTACTTGAATAATTCCAAGGCTTTGAGTGATGGTTGAAGATAAATTTGATGAAAATTAGGCCCTCCCTCTAGAACCCTTTCTCTCACTCTAGAATATCAGAAATGAGCTTCAAAATAGACTGTAGGTGTGTTTTAACGAAATAGGGGTCGAGTTTTAAATTAAGAAAATGGGTGCCCCGACACACGTCTACGGTCACATATGTGACCGCATAATGGTTATGTGGTCAGCAAAGTGACCGCCGAAATGGCCCTCAGGGGCCTAAACTTACGGCCCAGGTATGCGACCAGTATGCGATCTGCATACTCGTTCTGCGGTCGCTTAATGCACCGCAAAACTCCCTTCGCAAAAACTCAAGAGGGGTTATGCGATCGATATGCGGTCCGCATATCGATTATGTGGTTGCATAATCGACCGCAAAACTGACCTCAAGTTGGCCAAACTTACTACTTCACTCTGCGACCATTATGCGGTCCGTAGAGTGATTATGCGGCCGCATGATGGGCTGCAGAAATGCGTTTTTCTACAAAACATTTTCCTCTCAGGAATCTATCTTGGCACCATGAAACCCCGAGTTTTTGGTTTAAATTTTTTACGGGTCCTTACATCCTCCCCCACTTAAGATCATTCATCCTCGAATGAGGATCTAGGTTTGCTTAACACAGTTTCAGTTGTTCCACATAACATCAGCCCCAGATTTGCCTAACTTCCTAACTTTCTGAAAATTTTGCCAGAGTTTCCTTTGTATTTAGGCATATCCACTTGTCACAGAGCTCCCGAAACACACCTTAGCAACATATATAGAATTAAATGACATAACAAAATGTAAAATAACACCAATCGAAGCCTCCTGGGGGTACATATAACTAGAAAGTAGTGTCCTTATATTAGCCGAACAAGTGATACAAAATTTTGTTTGGGGGGTGGGGGGGGGGCAACTTTATAGAGCTATTACAAGGCTATTCAAATAAATGAGGGTACTTGTTTTTCATTTCATTCTCGGCTTCCCAAGTAGCTCATTCGACTTGTTGGTTTCACCATAATACCTTTACAGATGCAAATTCTTTGTTCCTTAGCTTTCGGACCTGTCTATTAAGAATAGCAATCAAAATCTCTTCGTATGACAGTTCTTCACTAATCTCGATGGTCTCAACCGGCATGATAGCGGACGGATCTCCGACTACCTTCTTCAACATGGACACATGGAATACCGAGTGCACTAATGACATCTCAGGTGGTAGATCAAGCTTGTACGCCACCTGACCTATCCTTTGAGTAATTCTATACGGCCCGACATACCTCGGACTTAATTTCCCTTTCTTTCCAAACCGCATGATCCCCTTCATGGGAGATACCTTCAAGAACACCTAATCATCTTCCTTGAACTCTAAGTCTCTGCGACGAACATCCGAATAGGATTTTTGACAACTCTGAGCAGTTTTCAACCGCTCTTTTATGATCTTAACCTTTTACATAGCCTGATGCACAAGGTCTGGTCCTATTAGTTCAGCTTCTCCAACCTCGAACCACCCAACCGGCGATCTACATCTTCTACCATACAAGGCGTCAAACGGCGCCATCTAAATACTAGCATTGAAGCTGTTGTTATAAGCAAATTATATGAGCGGAAAATGATCATCCAAGCTACCCTTGAAGTCAAGCACACAATCATTCAACATGTCCTCAAGCGTCTGAATAGTCTGCTCTGCTTGCCCGTCAGTTTGTGGATGGAAGGTCGTGCTAAGATTTACCTGCGTACCCATACCTTGCTGAAATTTCTTCCAGAAATTAGCTGTGAATTGGGCCCCTCGATCGGAAATGATGGAAACTGGAGTGCCCTGAAGCCTGACTATTTTCTTGTTATACAATTGAGCATATTGTTCCGCAGTGTCGGTGGATTTAACTGGCAAGATGTGTGCTGATTTCGTGAGTCGATCGACGATCACCCAAATTGAGTCAAACTTGCGCAGAGTACGCGGTAACCCTACCACAAAATCCATGTTGATCATTTCCCATTTTCACATTGGAATTTCTATACTCTGAGCTAACCCACCGGGCATTTGATGCTCGGCCTTCACTTGTTGACAGTTTGAAAATTTTTCCACAAAGTCCACCACACCCCTCTTCATGTTTTTCCACCAGTAAACTTCCTTGGGGTCATGATACATTTTTGTAGAACCTAGGTGCACGGAATATCTAGAAGTATGAGCTTCTGCCATGATTCTTTCCCGAAGACCATCTACATTTGGAACACATAGTCGTCCTTGGTACCGTAATGTACCGTCATCCATGCCAAGAGAAAAAGCCATAGTCTTATGTTTATGAATGCCTTCCTTCAGCTGCACCAACACTGGATCATTGTATTGCTTCTCCTTGACCTCCGTCACAAGTGATGATTCCGCCCTATTCTGCACAATCACTCCCCCTTCATTAGAGTCCACAAGACAAACTCCCACACTGGCCAACTGGTGAACCTCCTGGGCCATGGGCCTTTGACATGTCTCCAAGTGAGCCAAACTACCCATAGATTTCCGACTAAGAGCATCTGCCACCACATTAACTTTCCCCGGATGATACAAAAATGTCAATGTCATAATCTTTGAGCAATTCAAGCCACCTCCTCAACCTTAAGTTCAATTCCTTCTGCTTGAAAATGTATTGAAGACTCTTGTGGTCCGTGAATACATCTACATGGACTCCATACAAATAATGACGCCAAAGTTTGCAAAAACCACCACCGTAAGCTCTAAGTCATGAGTTGGATAGTTCTTTTCATGATTCTTAAGTTGCCTTGAAGCATATGCTATAACCTTACCATGTTGCATTAATACACACCCAAACCGATCCTTGAAGCATCGCAATACACCACAAACCCCTCAGTACCCTCTGGCAGGGTTAATACTGGCGCCAAAGTCAATCTTGATTTCAATTCCTGAAAGCTTCTTTCACAAGCATTGGACCACTGGAACTTAACCGCTTTCTGCGTCAATTTAGTCAATGGAGAGGCAAGAGTGGAGAATCCCTCCACGAACCTCCTATAATACCCGGCCAAACCCAAGAAACTGCGAATCTCTGTTGGAGTAGTAGGTCTAGGCCAATCCTTCACCGCCGCAATCTTTAGAGGGTCAACCTTAATTCCTTCCCCGGGGACGACATGACCCATGAATGTAACAGATTCAAGCCAAAATTCACATTTCAAGAACTTTGCATACAATTGGTGTTGATGAAGAGTCTGCAGAATTGTGCTGAGGTGGTCAGCGTGATCCTCTCGACTTCGTGAATACACAAGGATGTCATCAATGAATACTATCACAAATGAGTCAAGAAACGTCTTTTTCTTGCCAAAATTAATTATCTTTTATTTAATTTACTTTCTTAATTTTCTTGTAAATGCTAAACCAATTGTTTCTTATCCTATTCATTACACAAAACTACTCAAAGGTGATTCTTTCCTAGTTATGGCTAGTTACTTTAAAGTAAGTTTTCCTTTCTTTTAGCCCATCACTCAATATAGTTTATCTCTGGACATAAATCAAATTCTTCCAAGTGCATACATTAACTGCAATTCATCTAGTTAATTTAAAAAATACTTTACTTGTAACTGCATATTTGCTTTGCATTTTGTCAATTTATAAAAATACAATTCTCACATAATTCATTTCCCTTTTGTATATAATTTATCATACATATACATTTATCTTTCACCATGTGACATTCTTGTTCAATCACTCATCATTCAAGCTACTTTACTGTTCTTTGTATATATCAAATTAATCATTCTTTTGAACCTTCCCTCATTTATTTGATTGAGTCCACCGGAACCACATTTTTGTGGATCTTGAGGGATGCCTAACACCTTTCCCTCAAGATAATTTGAACCCTTACCTAGAATATCAACGGTTTCGTAGATCATAGTTGAAGCGTATATTATGTAGTATTGTATAGGTGTCCTAGTATACCTTAAATACTAGGTGGCGATTCTAAACTTTAATTAACCTTGTAGAGTACTATAAGTTGTATATTGTTTTGACTTGTGCAAAATAAGGTGCAACAGGGAGGAAGGGGAAAGCCATCTACTACTTGAGCCAGACGTTTACACCGTATGAAGCTAAATACACTTTGATAGAATGAATCTGTTATGCTTTGACTTGGATCGCCCAAAAGTTGAGACACTACAGGTTAGCATACACCACACATCTAATATCCCAGCTCGACCCGCACAAGTACATCTTTCAAAAGCCGATGCCTACAGGAAAACTGGCCAAATGGTAGATTCTTCTCAGCAATTTCGACATTGTAAACATAACGTAGAACACCATCAAAGGACAAGCTTTAGCCAACACATTGTACAGAACCCGATGGACAAGGATTATGAGATGCTCACTACATACTTTCCGGATGAAGAAGTGTTGTTCTCCGGAGAAGACATCGCAGAGTCATAACCAGGATGAAGAATGTTTGTGAACGGAGCGGTAAATTTTAAAGGAGTAGGAATCGGGGCAGTCATAATTTTGAAATCAAGACAACATTACTCGGCATCAGCCAAGATAATGTTCCCTTGCACCAATAATATGGTCGTGTATGAAGCATGCATCCTTGGGATTAGAATGGCAGTCGGCATGAACATCAAGGAGCTTCTAGTAATAGGAGATTATGATTTGTTGATACATCATATACAAGGAGAATGGACTACCATGAATGTCAAGATCCTTCCATACCTGCATTGCGTAAAGGATTTTTGCAAGAAGTTCACAAAGATTGAGTTCAAACATAATCATAGGATCCAGAACGAGTTCGCCGACACCCTTGCAACCTTCTCATCCATGATGCAACATCCAGATAAGAATTACATCGACCCTATTGAGATAGTGGTCCGGGATCAACATGCGTACTGTTTCCATGTAGATGAAGATTCGGATGGTAATCCATGGTACTACGACATCAAAAGGTTCTTTGAAATAAGAGAGTACCTAGAGAATGCCACCAATGGTCAGAAGTGAGCAATCATAAGGCTAGCGAATCACATTTTCTTCAACGGGGAAGTCCTGTATAGGAGGACCCCGGACTTGGGGTATGTTAAGATATTTAGATGCTGTTGAAGCAACCAGATTGCTAGAAGAAATACACACAAGGACATGCAGACCTTATATGAATGGTTTCACTTTGGCGAAGAAGATTTTAAGAGCTGGATACTTTTTGATGACCACAGAAAGCGATAGTATCTGTTACGTGAAGAAGTGTCACCAGTGCTAGATTTACGGGGATTTCATCCGGTTCCACCTAACGAGTTACGTAATGGGTTCTCCTTGGCCGTTTGGTGATTGGGGCATGGACGTGATTGGACTTATAGACGGGCATCGATCAATTTGGTGGCCATGAACTATTTCACCAAATGATTTGAAGCTTCTACATACAAGGTCGTCACGAAGAAAGTAGTGGGATATTTCGTTCATAACAACATAGTCTACCAATTCGGGATACTAGAGTCAATCATCACTGACAATGCCGCCAATCTCAATGGTGATCTCATGAGGGAAATTTGTGAAAAATTCAAAATCGTCCACCGTAACTCTACAGCCTACAGGTCGCAAATGAATGGATCAGTTGAAGCAGCCAACAAAAACATCAAAAAGATCCTACAAAAGATGGTGGACAACCATATGCAGTGGCACGAGAAGTTTTCCTTTGCCTTGCTAGGTTATCGGGCAATCATGAGAACATCCATTGGGGCAACGCCATACATGCTGGTATATGGCACCAAAGGTGTGATACCCGCAGAGGTCAAGATACCATCCTTGAGGGTTATTCAAGAAGCCAAGTTAGATGATGCAGAATGGATACGAATCATATAGGAACAACTCATGCTCATTAACGAGAAGAGAATGGACGCAGTGTGCCATGGTCAACTGTATGAAAGTAGGATAGCCAGTGCATTCAAGAAGAAGGTGAAACCTCAAAAATTTACACCGGGGCAGTTGGATTTGAAGAAACTATCCCATCATCAGGAAGAAGCCAAGGGAAAGTTCGCACCAAATTGGCAAGGTCCTTACGTGGTCTATCGAATATTGTCGGGAGGAGCTCTGATCCTAGCAGAGATGGAGGGAAGAATAAGCATCAAGCCTATCAACTCAGATGCAATCAAGAAATACCGCATTTGAATACAGTAGAATTAGGATTTGGTTGTAACAGAACTACGCCCGACCTGACTTCCCACGGCGGGAGGCAACCCACATAGGGTCCGGTCTCTCCCCCTCCTTTGTAGTAGAAAATCCAAATATCATTTTGTATGTTTCTGGAACTATGATATGACTTGATTTCCTTTGATAGGAATATGTAGGCAATCCTTATCAGATTCAGTCATCTATTGTAATTGAACTACATTCTGGCCTAATTCTATTTGGATACATAGGTAGTGTGAGTCAGACTCGGCCACTTCATTTTCAATTTCCCGTCATTTTGTATCTATTGCAATCGAACTAAATTTTGACCTGATTCCATTTGGATACGTAGGCTACCTGAGTAAGGCTTGGTTACCATCATAATTTCATTTTATTACCCTCAAACTACGTTTAGACCTGATTATGTTTTGGATACGTAGGCAACCTGAAAAGGTTCGTTCATAACCCTAGGAAAACCTTTATAACACATTCGTTTAGATTAGGATGCAATTGCGACAGCAAGAAGCTACGTCATCAGAGGCATCTCCAGGAATCGACATCAACGGGACAGAGTTTTCCAGAAATAGCGTTCGCGTCATCGGGAATTTCTAAACATGTCATAATCCGGAACAACGTCATTTACCATAAAATAAACAATTTTCAAAATATTTTCTAATAAACTATCATTCCACCAACCAAACTTCGTGGCATAACCTCACCAGACCCGAGACAAATCCAGGACCATGATCAACATGAGCCAACACCCCCTGCTAAGAATTTCTTGTTGAATGTAGGACCAACAGAATACGAAGAATGATGGGCCATGTTTAGAACAATGACAAACCTGCTGCTCTCTCATGACTCTTATATCTCTTTCATTATTTAATTTATTTCCTCATATGACTAAAGACTAAGTCCCAAGTTCTTTGTAGGTATTCTGGAACCAAGCCTGTGATGCGATCGAAGCGCATTGTAAATTGCAAACCGTCTGCTCAAACAAGCAGAGCACTTTGTATATAGTGAGCCACTGGCCCGTCAATCGGAGCCATGTATATAGAAAACCATCAGCTCAACCAAGCGAAGTGCCTTGTACAAATCGAGTCGTTGGCTTTTCCAATCAAAGGCATGTATATAGCAAGTTGTTCGCTTTGCCAATCGGAGCGTTTGGATAACCATGGAAAGTGATAGTATTCTCTACGTGTAGAAGTGTCACCAGTGCTAGATTTACGAGGATTTCATCCGGGTTCTACCTAATGAGTTGAATGTAATGGGTTCACCATGGTCGTTCGTCGTTTGGGGCATGGACATAATCGGACCCATAGAGCCCACTGCATCAAATAGACATTGTTTCATCTTGGTAGCCATTGACTACTTCACTGAATGGGTTGAAGCTTCTACATACAAGGTCGTCACGAAGAAAGTACTGGCTGATTTTGTCTATAACAACATAGTCTGTTGTTTCAGAATACCTAAATCAATCATCACTGACAATGCAGCCAATCTCAACAGTGATCTCATAAGGGAGATTTGTGAAAAATTCAGAATCGTCCACCGTAACTCCACAGCCTACAGACCGTAAATGAATGGAGCAGTTGAAGCAGCTAACAAAAACATCAAAAGGATTTTACGAAAAGTAGTGGATAATCATAGGAAATGGCATGAGAAGTTATCCTTTGCCTTGTTAGGTTATCGAACCACCATGAGAACATCCATTGGGGCTACTCCATACATGTTGGTATATGGCATTGAAGCTGTGATACCCACAGTGGTCGAGATACCGTCCTTGACAATCATTCAGGAAGCCAAGTTAGATGACGCAGAATGGATATGGGTCAGGCAGGAGCAACTCATGCTCATTGAAGAGAAGAGAATGGATACACCGTGCCATGGTCAGTTGTATCAAAATAGGATGTCCAGTGCATTCAACAAGAGGGTGAGACCTTGTCAATTTACACCAGGGCGGTTGATTTTGAAGAAGATATTCCCTCATCAAGAAGAAGCCAAGGGAAAGTTTGCGCCAAATTGGCAAGGTCCTTACGTGGTCCAGAGATGGACAAGAGAGTCAGCACAAAGCCTATCAAGTCAGATGCAATCAAGAGATACTACATTTGAAGATAGTAGATTTAGGTTTTGGTTGTAACGGAACTACGCCCGACCTGATTTCCTACAGTGGGATACATAGGCAACCCACGTAGGGTCCAATCTCTTTCTCCCCCTCATCTTTTGTAATAGAAAATCCAAAAATCATTTTGTATGTACTCGGAACTACGCCATGACTTAATTTCGTTCGGCAAGAATACGTATGGGTCACGACCCAAATCCCATAATAGGTCAAGATAGCGCCAAACTATGCTAATAGGCAAGCCAACGCATGAACCTCCACTTAACTGTCCATTTTAAATTTTTAAAATTAGGAATTTTATTAAATAAATAAAATCTAGCACTCAAAGAAACCTATGCTCTTCTTTACCAAATTTCCAAATTTAAATAAATCATAAAGTGAAGTGATAATAATAATGTGAAATAAAATAATGAACATCCATTAGGAACCCCTAAAACCCGGTGTCACAAGAGCATGAACATCTACTAGAACAATACAACACTACCACAATATCTGTCTGGAATATAAAATAGACAAGATATAATAATTGAATAAGATGGAGACTCTGTATGCTGCGAATTGTAGCGTAGGATGCAGCTCACCATAAAGTCCCCTCAGTAGCTACGCCAAGATGACCACCTAATGTAGAAGCCTCAGTACTTGAACATTCAGTGTAGAACTGTAGCGTGAGTACGTAAATCATGCATACCCAATAAGTATCTAGCCTAACCCCAAAGAGGTAGTGACGAGGGGTCGACATTGATACTTACTAGTGGTCCAATAAATTAAATATAATAAAGTAGACAAGTATGAAACATGGTAAGTAAGAATTTACTCAGTTGCGTTTTTGGAGTATTCATGTGCTAACGGAGCACTAGTTGTGTGGCATGTTTAGCTATGTTGTCGGGGCTAGGTCAGAGTGGGCGACTCTTGAGAATTATTCTAGCAAGTTCGAGATCTAAGATGTGGTACCTAAGGATTCCACATTTGCGTGTTACTAAGGATTGATTTGCAACGGTTTGTGAGAGTGACTTGGAGTATTTATACATCATTATCGGTTCTGCGATTCAATGTTAGAGATGGAAGAAACAACTTCGGATTCATTGAAGGTCTCATCAGAGCAGGCAGTTCGGTTTGAGGTACTATCGGATGTATGTGAAGGAATAAAGTGGCTTATAGGTCTTAGGATGATGTGGTGTCATATGTGGGTCACCTGGGATGAGTGTTGATTGAGATACATGGTGTGCTGGGAAAGAGAAGTGTTATCTTGAAGGCAAGTCAAGAAGAAATTTGATGAAGTTGGCTCAGTTTAGTAGTAACTTGGATTAACATGGTAATAGAAATAATTGGTTCCTTTTGTATGATAGGGATATATAGGTATTTGTGGGAATACTTGAGGGCTTGAAAGTCTCTGTGACTTGGTTGAGTTAGAGGAATTTAAAACTAATGGCTTGGTTATGTGCAAACAGGTTCCAAAGAGTTTACGATGGTTTTGACCACAATTTAAGATTGATATCTTCTATGGGTATGGAAAGTTTATTTCATAGTGTGATTCTCTTGAATTGAGGTAGTGGAGGGTTTATGGTCGATGGAGTGTTTATCCTACTTGTGATTTAGACTTGATAATGGTATTCTCGTATTTTCATATGATAGTGTGATAGGTGCGGTGAGCCCCGTGAGAGAATGGCGTTTCGAAAGGAAGGTCATGAGTTCTAGCCTCGTGAGAGATTTCAGATATTTA